ATCCACTGACAGGTGGAGGTTGGCACAGTGAGCTGGGTGAGTTTGGTGCTGAGGATGTCCAGGATGATGGTGTGAACACCAAGCTGAAGTCCACAGGATCCCTGGAGAGTTTAGATGTTGCAGGATGTAATGCAGTCGCAAGTTGACTGCATCATCCTCTGACCTGTTAGCCCTGTAGGCAAACTGCAGGGGGTCTAGCAAGGGGCCTGTAATGTCCTTCAGGTGGACCAATAACAGTCTTTCAAAGGCTTTCAAGACTAGGTGTTAGGGCGACGGGCCTGTAGTCATTTAATCCAGAGATGGAGGGTTTTTGGGGGACTGGGATGATTGTGGAGCGTTTGAAGGAGGACTGAATTTCACACAGCTCCAGTGATCTATTGAAGATCCGTGTGAAGATGGGGCCAGATGGTCTGCACAGATTTTCAGGCAGGATGGTGAAAAACCATCTAGGCCAGGAGCCTTCCTGAACTTCTGCCTCTGGAAGAGCTGACTCACATCCTCTTCACACATCATGAGCACAGGTGAGGGGTTGGACAGCGTGGCAGTGGGGGAAGGTGACGCAGGGTCTGAGTTTTGCATACACATGTCCTGAATTAATGCAGAGGTGAGGGCTCTATCCAGAGCCAAAAAAGCAGCTTTTCGGTCTGGTGATAAAGAAGCTTACAGCACCGCCAGAGCGAGAATGAAAGCTGGCATCAAGGAGGCAAAGCGGAGACATCAGCAGAGACTGGAGAGAGACCTCAACACCAACAACACCAAAGATATGTGGCAGGCCATTAAAAACATCACTGGCTACAAAAGCAGGAGCTCCCCCATCATGTGTGAGGCCACATTACCAGATGAACTAAACACCTTTTATGCTCGCTTTGATCTCCTCAAGAAAGAGTCAGCTGTAAAGTCTACTCCACCTCCAGAGGACTGCCCACTGTCAGTATCCACAGCAGATGTGAGGAGAGTCCTGCTGAGAGTGAATATGAGTAAATCAGCTGGTCCTGATAACATCCCTGGCTGTGTACAAAAAACCTGTGCCAATCTGGACCCTCACCAGTTTGAACCAAACTGGTTCTAAAAGCACAGAAGATACCATCTCCACTACCCTGTACACCCATGACTGCATCCCCTGGCATGGAGAGAATTCTGCTGTGAAGTTTGCGGACGACACCATCATCGGCCGGATTTGAAACAACGATGAGACTTCATATCAGGAGGAAATTAATAATCTTGAAGAGTGGTGCTCAGAGAATAATCTACTGCTCAACTGTGGATTTCAAATCAGTATTCAACAGAATCTCCCCCTTGAAACTGATCAGCAAACTCATGGTCAGCCCCCTCCTGTTCACGCTGTGCACTCACGACTGCATCCCCCAACATGGAGAGAACTCTGTTGTGAAGTTTGCCGATGACACCACCATCATTGGCCGGATTTCAAACAATGATGAGACTTTATATCAGGAGGAAATTCATAATCTTGTAGAGTGGTGCACTGAGAACAACCTACTGCTCAACATCAGCAAAACTAAGGAGCTGATCATTGATTTTAGGAAGAAGGAGATAAGGACACACACTCCTGTCTACATCAGTGGAGCTGAGGTGGAGCAGGTGAACAGTTTCAGGTTCCTGGGAATCAGCATTACAGAGAACCTGACATCTGGCTCAAAACTGTATTTTTGAGGAAGCTTAAGAAGGCTAAATTTCTGCTTTTACAGAGGAGCAATAGAAAGCATCCTGACTGAAAACATCACTAACTGGCATGGGATGTGCACGGCCCAGGACCAGAGGGCTCTGCAGCAGGTGATTAAAACTGCTTAGAAGATCATTGGTACCCATCTCCCGAGCATCAGTGATATTGGTGAGAATTTTAAGGACAGCACCCATCCCAGCAACTGCTTGTTCGCCCTGCTGCCTTCTGGGAAGACATATAGAAGTTTCAGCTGCCGCACCACCACATTGCACAGCAGTTTTTTCCCCCAAGCTATCAGACTTTTAGACTCAAATTCATCCTTGGCAATATTCCATTGAATGTAATTTATTTCTGTCTACCTTTTTTATAATTGATTCTATATGAATATTGTCTGCTACGTAACAGAAGGGAGATACAAACTCAATTTCACTCTACAACCTGTTATATTGAGCACGGTGGCCTAGTGGATAGAACTGGCCTCACAGCAAGAAGGTCCCGGGTTCGAAACCTGTGTGGAGTTTGCATGTTCTCCCCGTGTCTGCGTGGGTTCTCTCCGGGTGGTCCGGCTTCTTCCCACCATCCAAAGACATGCGGCCTAGGTTGATTGGTGACTCTAAATTGTCCTGTCCAGGGTGTACCCCGCAGAGTGGTGAGTAATTAATCTCTAACAAATGTATCTTTCATTCATCAAGTTTTAACTGAGTTTTGTCTCTCCATCACAGTAACAACTCTGACTGCCTGGAGGGTAGCAAATGTTTGGAAGGGAGAGGAGAGGCAGACAGCAGACATCTTATCACTGTGTGCTGCAGCTCAGAGCGTTTTTCCACTGGTGTTTTTGAGGGCGTGTTGTTGCTAGGCGAACATTATGATGCATGTTTTTTGTGACATCGGCATAAAGTGGAAGAAAAGCTGGACTACAAACGAGCTGTTTTCAGGCACTTCAGAGCAGAGTTTTCAGTGGGAGATGGGTACTCCCTTTGGGGTGGACTTTTTCACTTTACATGCACAAAAAAGGTATATAACACAATAAAGGAGAGGGAAAAAGTCAAAAATCGATTGTGCATGAAAAAAAAGAGTTGAGCATTAATCTGTTGGTACAACTAACCTTAATTTGGGTGATCACAGGGATATGGGAATATTTGATCTGTTAACTGATTGCCTGTCAGATTTATAGCATGACTCATTAGCAGAGATGCTAGATGTCTTTGAGCTAGAGTTCAAGTCAAGTCTCAAGTCTTTGAGCTAGAGTCCAAGTCAAGTCTCAAGTCTCTCGTAGTTATTACAAAAGCTGTATCACCTGCTGCGTTCAATCCAGGTTGCTAATAAAACTGCATAGCTATAAGGAATTCTGTAACTGTAACCTGCTTTTCATTTACTGAGCACAACCATGTAATGTACAATGCAATTATTGACTGTTTATTAAATACTGTAAGTCAACACACTCCCCAGACTCTTAAACCCAGTGTAATGTTATCTAAATAAAACTGTGACGTTGCATAATCAACAATAAACCTGTCTATTTTTAACTTAACAGAGCACAACAATGCAGCCTAATGTACAATGCGTCTACAATTAATGACAACTTATAAACTACTGTAAGTCAACAAACCCTGTTGATTTTCAAACCCAGTTTCAAACCCTAAAGTTAACTGAATAAAACTGTAAAGTCAAATGGTCAACAATAAAGCTGTAACCGGTTTTTAACTTACAGAGCACAATGTGCAATGCAATCAATGACAGCTTAAACTACTGTAAGTCAACACACCCTGCAGACTGTAGTGAGTGACTGAGTGTAATGTTATAACTAAATAAAACTGTAAGGCTACATGATCAACAATAAACCTGTAACCTCTTTCCAGCCAACGGCAATAATTAAATAAGGTGATGGCATAGACTGTATGGGTGATGGCAGCCAGCTGGACGTAAATAATTACGTTAATCGACCACCACAAGTTTGGAAAGTAAACAAATGCTCATTCATCTTTTCATAACGAGCGTCAGTCGGAGTAAACCTCCCGTAGGTCGTGGCTAAAGCAAGAAGCAAGCTAACGTTAAATGGCCAATGCTGAGCTAAACATGTTTACTCACCACAGGTTACTAACCTATTTGCGTTCAGCACTTCTTTGTTTGCGTCTTGTTGTATGAAGTTTTAAAGCCAAAGTTTATGATGAACGGCTCAGCAGCTGCCGCTGTTTGTTGTCCTCTCTCACGTGCGGCCACGCGCAGCAGATGCTATGTGTTACGTAGGCAGGTTATAGGTAACGGAGTGAGGGAATAACAGCACGCTCATCAGAAGTAGAAGAAAAATAAACATTGTTCACGAGTCCAAGTCGAGTCTGAAGTCTTTTGAGGACGAGTCTCAAGTCGAGTCTGAAGTCACCATAGATAAAGTAGGCCGATAGATAGGTTTGCAGTGATTTCATGGTACCCTGGGAAAGCATTTTTTGTATTTTTGAAATACAAAAATTCTTTGATACATGTCGTGAGTGCTGTATTTTATAGTTTATTTTAATACATTTAAAATTAGGGTATTTGGTATCTTATTTTAAGATGCATTTTCATGAATCTTTGCAATCCCTGGTTGTAAATATAACCTCCTGAAGCCAGCATGGCTAGGGACCACAAAGTTGTTATCTTGGTAGTGACTGACTTGTCTACTTCTGGCTAATCCCAAAATGGGCAAAGAGGTAGAGCTGAGGCAGGCTGAATGAACCTCGATTGCCTGTAACAGCACCCACATGTCACTCAATTGGCCACGTCTTTAATTATGTGTAACTTTAGGCTGGGGTAGACAATTAATTTCAGAAGCTTTTTTTGTTATATTTGATGACATTGTCTTTGCATGCCGACATGAGTAAATCAAATGCTCTGACACAAAAACGAAAAAATCTGGTATCTATACTCCACCCTTCTCTGATGGGTAGGCTCCATCCACACTGACACCATTTGGTGACAAAGGCTGAAGTTCCACCCACAATGGTGGTCACAGCCCCGCCCCGTGTAACAGTCCCAGCCTTGATCCAGTGCAGCAGCAGCAAGCTTCACCCACTGTTCTGACAGTTCTAGCACAAATCAAATCTCGTAATTATTCAGTTGCTAGCAGGCAAACATTTAATAATGCCTTTTTGACATTCATGCCTAAAGTATCTCTTGCAGCTTAAACTTTGACATACAATAGTGTGTGTCTTTTAAAAATTCATGATGTTTTGACTGATTATAATCTGGGAGTTTAGCCAGTGTCCACCCTCTTCATTGTTCCCTTTGTTTCTCCCCGTTCTCTCTCTGCCTGCTCCTCCGCTGATGTCTTCTCCTTCTCCAGCTGAGTGAGGTGGAGGTGAACGGACAGATTGAGCAAGTATGTGAGCAGGTCTACAGCGAGATGCAGTCCCAGGCAATGGAGGCTGCCATGGACAGCATGGACACCATGGACACCTTGCCTATGCCAGGATGCTTCAGGATGCGAAGCCACAGCTATGTGAGGGCGATCGACCAGGGCTGTGCTGGGGAGGAGGAAGGAGAAGGAGGGAGACCACTCCTCCTGTTGCCATCCTCCCCACCTCGCACATCTGCCACCACTGTCAGGACCATCCAGAGCAGCACAGGTAGGGCACTACAAGGCAAGAATGGATGTTCAGTATGTGTCTTTTTCCCATTTTAACACAGGTGTGTCCAAACCTTTAATGCCAGAGGCCCCAACAGTAAAACAGGTCCTGGGCTAGGAGCCTTTTAATTTAAGAGCTATTTTACACTTCAATCCGCAGTAAGATGAATAAATCACTATACAAGGTGCAAGTCTTGTAGGGAAGGTTTGAAATATATCAGGGAGGTGACTATCAGTCAGCTTGAACCTTAGTGTGAGCACATTCTTAGTCACCCAGCTGGGTGGCTCGGCTGCAGAGTGTTTCCTGTTGTATGATACCAAGCAGTTTCATGGCTTCTCCTTCAAACTGCCTAACTTTGCTGCACACCAGGGATGGATCCCAACACTCCACACTGCATGTCTAGTGTCTGTAACTGGTTAAGCCTCCTTGGCACAGAAAGAACACACAACCAGTCTAGGTTAAAATCAAGGGCAACTGGACTTGGTAGAAGATGCTTGAAGACATTTTGCCTCTCATCTGAGGGACTATTAAATTAACATATTTCTCAATCTTGAACCCGCTGCCACAGAGAAAAACAGAGGGTTAAAGAACTGTATGATGTAATGATTTAATTAAAGCATTTCTGTTAAAATATGTATTTTATCCAGCATAAATGTTATGCTTATTGTGTTAATATGTTCCCTTCTGAAGTACTAGTGTCAGTGTGGTAAATTAACTAATCCGATCTTTCCTTTTTCATAATATCATCAACTAAAAAATTAAGGCAGTAAGACACAGACAAGGGACTACCTCATTCAAGGAGCACAACTCACAGCTAGCATCTAATCACATAGATGCATAGAAGTTAAGGCTGGGCGGTATGTGGGTATATGGGTATATGAGGTATACCGATATAATTTCATAAGAGATATGAAATTAGACAATACCATTTACACCAATTGTACCATTTCTACTTTACTTTTAATACAAATTATTAATATTAATATCTCAGAAATATGAATTCATAAATCCTCGTTAAGGGCACCACGTAAAGATTTGCTGTCTAAGTATAGCTGAATAATTATACAATTATTTCCTAGTGATCAGTTAGTAGAAATTGTTTAATTATCTTGAATCAATCTAATCAATCAGTCAATCTCATATCGAAGGCGTAAATCCTCCGTTATAGTGACCTGGAGTCAAACAATACACACACATAGTTAATAAATTTCACTGTAATCACAGGAACTAACTAAAGGTGGATATAAATGCGGTTAAATATATCAAAGACATACAACAATAATGATTAAACAAACAGGATGCAATCAATGAAAATGATGGAGTTAAAATGTGGATTTAGTGGTCTATTGTGGAAAAGATTTGAGTCTAAGGAGGCAAGGGAACCAATAAACGCAAGTTATATGATAATAAGTAGGTTAAATTTGGCTGGGAGTTTCTGAAATGATTAAGAATTAAAGTTAATGGATTAACAGACTATTGGACATCAACTCAACCACAGAATGTAGGGTTTTAGCCTTACTGCTTGTTGTTTCTCCAGCTGGTTGGTGTTCGGCCGCTGGCTGAACTTTGTGCGTTCTCGGTTGAGACGGCTTAACACGCTGTCAGCCGGTCGCTTTCTCTGCCAGAGAATTTCTCCGGAGGTCCGCCCTCAATTGGCTTGGTTTGAAGAAAACTTGCAGTGGTTGGCTGTTAGCTGAATTTAGTTGTGGATTTTGATGTCCTTTGGGTTACTGCTAGTGCAACGGATGCACGTGGCTGGGTCCGAACATCGGGGAAGCAGTAAAAGTTAACTCGACGGAATAGATAGATAGATCTTGAATTATAAGTTGCGTGACTGAAACGGTCTGATAACTTTTAACAAACAAAAGAAAAGAAAATATATATTGCTTGAAACAAGGGAAAGCCGAAGTCGTGACACTCTGCGTGTGTGGCTTGAAAAGAACAAAGAGATCTTTGTGGCAATGCCGGGCCGGACTCCTTAGGGCATTGTTGGGAGACGGGACACGCTCCGTAAGCGTGTAGAGCAGAGAACAAGAGCGAAGAGACCAGAGAACTAGAGTGAGAGCGGCGCGTGTCGCGGTGTTTTGTTGTCTAGGGCGTTTCTCAAGAGAAGGCTGTCCCTTTTGCACGTATTTTAATCAAATATCTTCCCACAATCAAACCTTAAATGTCATAACAGCTATACTGTTATTAGCTTCATGCATTTGATAAGAAGGAAAGGAAACAATTACTTAATCATTGTAATGATTGGAATGGTTACCAGTTAAACACATTTTCAGGATTTCAGAATGAAAGAGACTTAAGTCAATGTTTCCTGGATGATATTGGCTGTTACACATTCTTAGAGAATTTAAGCAAGTTACACGAACATGGCATCAGATTACGAACAAATAAGTACAGAGTGATACGCCACACAGCAGGAGCGGCATTTCAGAGCAATGGCATATAATACTTAGTGTGTCCTCTTGGGCGAACTCTGGCTCCATGAGGAGACTGAAGATAACTGATTATTTCTTTAAAACAATCATTTGCTCAGGAGCTGGGGAAATTAGGTATTTAACATTAAATTCGAGCTGGAAAATTAATCAAGTAGCATAGGACATTCCTTTATCATATCATTTCTAAAGAAAGTGTCAGAAAGTGTTGGGAATAAAGCATTAGTATAAACATCAAACAGACAGTCAGGAATGAAAGGCGCATCAGAGGAATGGATTAAGAGCACTGAAAATTGAGTTCCTTGTGGTTCTTTTAGCTTTCAAACATAGTACTTAGAGAATAACGACATGGTAATTACTACTAAAATATAAGAGGCAAGCGCCACTACTAACTTAGCAAAGATTATTTAACTAAGCAGGTAATAGGCAAGTTATACGTAGACAGTATTCATATGAGTCCAAATTAATGGCTCTTTGGTGGGGTAGAGAGTCAAGACTGAAGAGGAGATCTTTGATGTTTGGAAGTAATCTAAAAGAGGAACTTTGTTACCATGGTTACCCTGCCCTTTTGGTCTTGGGAGTTGTTTAGTTTATGGCTGCGGAGGTCCTCACAGCCTGGTTCAGGTTGAGGTTAGTCTCTGTGTAATGTTAATATTGTCATCTTAACAGTCATGCATAGAGTCTGTTATCTCAACTTCACCAGAGGTGGTAAGTTTTACAATCTAACTGACCAAAACAGCACTTAGGGGAAAGCAAACCTTTCACTTAAGGTCAGGCTGTCTGTTTAGGAGGGGAGAAAAAGATTTTGGAATCTTTTGGCATAAAAATAATTAAAAACACAGTGGTAGTACCAGTGGCATTTTCTCCCAGAAGCCAAGGGAAGCCAGGCTTCTTCCCTTAAATGATTAACCAATCAGACGAGGCCACTGTCATGCCACTGCTTAACTGTGATTAGTCAGGATGATGCCAAGGGAAGCCAGCCGCTGTCTGGCTTCACGCCAATCAAATCACAGCATGCGATCAACATCATTCAGATGAAATAACAGGAGCTGTTAGCAACTTTAGCTGGTGCAGTTATGGAGGATGGAAATTTGGAGTTTTTATTTATAATAAATAATAGTTTTACTAAACTACCACTATAGCAGCAATTTAAGATTAAATCTGACGGAAGACCAACGCCAAAACTGGAGCTGTGCCTGGAGAGGAAAAAGGGGTGTTAGACGTTCAATGAGGAAAACTATTTCCGTATAGAGAGGCTAGCTGGTAGCGCCAATCTTCGACTGACTGTTGTTGCGGAGGACGAAAAGCCCGTGGGTGAGTAAAATGTCACCTCCTTCTCTCTCTGAACTTAACTGAACTGCAGCTATGTGTGCGATTTTTAATGTGGTTATATTGTTAGTTTTGCTTTGCTTGCCTGGATTTAGCTGTGAATGAATAGTCAGTTGAAATAACCTTATTGTTTTTACTGCGGTTGTGTATGCATAGATAATGAGCACCACAGACAGCACCTGCCACAGGGCACTGGGCCAGGTTAGGCTACGTGAATAATTGTCTATACTCTGTCGGTCTGGTACATTTGGCCAAGCATTAAGAAGTATGTAAGCCTATTTAATACATGCACCACTGCTATTATGCAAATGTCTTCAATCGTCTTCTGTTTGAGCTTGTGAATGCTTCTTTTATTCTTAACCTGCACCATAAGCAGCGGGCTAAGTATGTTTGTTTGGGGTGAGAGAGAGAGACTGAGTGAGTGAGTGAGCAAGTGAGAGAGAAAGCGTATGTGTCGGTAAATGCAAGTTTCAGCGTCTGTATTGATAACAGATAATCTTTAAAGTTTGATTAAATTTTTGTAAAATGATACCCTGCACTGTAATAGCACAATGCATTAGATAATTGCCCCCCAAAAAGGACATCACCTCTCACTTGGCTTCCCCAAAAATTTACCCCACCCCACGCCACTGGGTAGTACACTACACAATACAGTTTGATAAATTGTGTGTAACCTGATTTCTGTATTGTTTCTGAAAGATCATTATCTTAGTTTTTGCTGTGTTTACTGTCAGGACCCAGGTCTGACAGAATCTCTGCAGGAGATTAAGGTGCTGCTGCAAACCTTCTTTAGTAGGTGAGAGCAACACTAAGTCATCTGCATACAGCAGACCTCTGATCTCTGTGTCGTTCAAGATGAGGCCAGGTGCCGTGGAACTCTCTAATTGGTTTACTAATTCATTGATATATAGATTGAAGAGAATTGGACTGAGATTGCATCCCTGCACCACTGCCCGGCCCTGGGAGAAGAACGCTTCGTTTCCAATCTTTATGGCACATTCACTTTTTGTATACATGTTCTTAATCAAATCATATGTTTTTCCTCCAATGCCACTTTCAAGTAGCCTATAGAAAAGGCCCTCGTGCCAGATTGAATCAAAGGCTTTTTGGAAGTCAACAAAACAGGCATATACCATTCTTTTCTTAATGTTTAATTCTTGATCATTTAGAGTCTGGAGGGTAAATATACGGTCCGTTGTGCGGCAGTTTGGCAAAAAAAACTATTTGGCATTTATGCAGAATATTGTGGTTATCAACAAAGTTGACAAGTCGTTTATTAA